ATTTCCCCCCCCCCCCCCAGCTCCCATCTTTGCCCTGACGTTTCATACGACGTTGTCTCTTCAGTTGTGAAAGTGAAAAAACTCTTAATGTCGCAGTATTACTTCAGTTGGACCATTCAGTGTTTTTCTTCTTTTCCTCCTTTTTTCTGAGTCCTGGTGAAAATGTAAACCATCTACAGACTGTGGTCTTTACTGTGTGGAAATGTAGACGCAGTATTGTGCAAAAGTCTTAGGCGGATGTATACGTTTTACTACGTGACCTGATTTTTTTTGTAGCCCATTTTTTCTCTTTTCAAATGTTCAAAGCAGATGCAGAGGTTCATTCTCCACGATGCATTCACTGACCACCGATGATGTTAACAATGAGCTTCTGATTAGCTTTATATAACTGAAAAAGAAAAGGGGGGGTGGGGGTGTAAATACACAGTACACACTACAGTAGTAAATGTTCAGGTACAAAATACTAATTTTCTCTGAGCCGTCCTTTAGAAGAAGAAGTGACCGTCAGTGTCCTCTGCAGACTTGACTTTATTTCCACTACCAAAAGGAGGCGCTGTTGATGGCACAGCTGTGGATCAGTGTGTTCCACCGTAGGTCCTGGTCTCCTCCTGATCAGAGCTGAAAGATAAAACCAGTCTCTGTTGTTCAACCCCGGTGTGACCATCCGTCTCCCTCTGCTCACGTGGAGATGTTCTGCTTCAGACGGCCCTGATTAGACCATAAATAAGTAAACACATATCATAAATCAACAGGAAGAGCTCTGTCAGGGTGATTTTCACAGCCGTTTGCTTCAGAAAAATCCGACTTCTGAAAAATGAAGCAGCTTCTGTGCCGTGAGGATTTGAACCATTGTGTCTGTGACAGATTACTCCAGTTTCCTGGCTGCTCGGCATAAGCTGGTCAGTAATTATCACCTGCAGCGTTGAGGATGAAAGCTGTGCTTATTTTACATATGTGTTTACGTGAGTCAGTTGTGAAAGTGGTGGATACATTGGTAGAAGAATGTTAGAGATGGAGCTACCAGGTAGGAGAAAGAGAGGAAGGTCAAAGAGGAGATATATGGATGCAGTGAGGGAGGACATGCAGATAGTTGGAGTCAGAGGAGGAGATGTAGAGAACAGGGAGAGATGGAAATCAATGATTCACTGTAGCAACTCCTGAAAAAAGTTGAAAAAAAAATTTCAAAAAAAAATTTCAAAAAGAAATTTCGAAAAAAAAAAAAATTCAAAAAAATCTTTCCAAAAACAAAAATTTCAAAAAAAGTTTTCAAAAAAGATTTTTCAAAAAAAAATCTTTCAAAAATTTTTTTTTTCAGGACAGGACATTGTGTTGGACCGAGCAGTGAGCAGCCACTAATGGTTAGAGCTGTACACCTCCAACAACATTAGTAAGAAAGTCAAAATACTGTTTTGTTAATTAAGATGTCATTTTAAACAGTATTTCCAGTTAAACCATTGAAACCCCTGCACTAGGTCGACCTACTGCCACCTACTGGCACTATTTTTCAGTGGTAAAGTGTGCACCAGAGAAGAACCCACACCAATTATTAATAAAAAAAATGTCAAAGATACTGTACATAATTGACAACAGAAAGTGTAATGATGGAAAACACCCAGCAGGGGGCAGAGCACAGATCCAAAGAAGAGAGGTTGTAATGGAGTGTGAGGAGGATGAAGCTCCTCCTTATGATATGGAGATGGATTCAGTTTGAACCTCGGTCATTAGTGACTGGTGCGTTCACTGTCACTGTCTGTGACTGGTGCGTTCACTGTCACTGTCTGTGACTGGTGCGTTCACTGTCTGTGACTGGTGCGTTCACTGTCACTGTCTGTGACTGGTGCGTTCACCGTCTGTGACTGGAGCGTTCACTGTCACTGTCTGTGACTGGTGCGTTCACTGTCTGTGACTGGTGCGTTCACTGACAGTGAACGCCCCAGTCACAGACAGTGAACGCACCAGTCACTGTCAGTGAACGCTCCAGTCACAGACAGTGACAGTGAAGCCAGGATAACAAGTTCAAGTCCCCGGAGAGCAGCAGGGAACCACAGATCTCTGCGGGTTTGTCACCGCGGTGCAACACGTTTGGCGTAGAGTTGTCACGTGAGCCACATAATCAGTTACAGCTGCTGTAATTTATGCAGGGGTAAAACTGGAGACACTTTGTTGGAATCCAGACAAACAGGTGCAAAAAAGAAGCAGAGAGAGCAGCAGAACGTTGAAGAGAAAAATGTGACGGGGAAA